ATATAACTGACCTTATTGCCTACAATAAAACAAACCATAACATAAACAGAATAGTAAAAAGAAACTAAATAATACATAAAAGGAAAAAAAAAAAAAAACAGAACTAAATTTTAATATCATATACTCAGAAAAGAAAGAAATAAAACTATAAAATCCAAATTAAGAAACCATTACAAGAAAAATCAAACAAAATAGCATACTAATACTGAAATAACCCCGTAAATAATAAATCAATGACTTCTAGCAATATAATAAAATTCACCAATAAATAATAAAATTTCTACTTTTCAGTGCAACGAATATGTCAAATCCTTATCCCATCTTATCACTGATAAATGTTTTAACGAAGACTGGCAATATGAACAGAACAATATGAACAGCGATATATCTATTTGTGTTAATTCATATAATCCCTGAGTGATGCCTGATCTACAATATCTATCTTTGTGCAATCGCACTTTCATCCAATTTCAAGCATTACCGAACTGATAATATTCTTTATCATTGCATTCATATGTAGTGATAAATGTAATGATAAGCAGATTATAATGAGAGCTCTGCTAAAGTAATACTATAAAGAAAATAGAGAAATTTTTTTGTACTTTACATAATTCCTAATTATCTTTTAGAACAGAAAGCTTTGTTATCCTGTAGATAATAAAACAACATTATATGTCTCTCATTAAGAGCACTTAGATGCACTATTGAACAGCCTTCTGGCTTCTAGAAATAATGCAACCACTTCAGTGATTTTGTATCTGTAATTTTTTGATTATGTCTAAAACCTTACATTATGTTCTTGTAGATCATGCAGATCTTCAGGTTTGTTTTTGAATTATAGCATTTTATCATTATTTTGCTCTAGTGAAATTGGTAAAATAATGTAATTGTCCTATTATTTAATCAGTTCATTGGCATCTTAAATTAGTGTTTCTCATCTAAAATCTAAAATCTTTTATAAATGAAGCAGTGTATAAAAAAAATGAGTTTCAAATATTAATGAAACTGTTCCGAGAACAATCAATATTACTATGAAGTGCCGAGTCAGAAGTTATCGTTTTGATCTATACCATGTCATTACTTCAACTACTTGATCCGCGCTATAAATCTACAATTCTTAGTCTTCAATAATTAAAAAATAAATAGCGAAAAATGACAAAATATGTTTTATATAAATATCCAACTATGTGTTCTCTTCGCTTGCCTTTAATTGCAATTTAAAACAATCTGTTGTGAATATCGTTTATTTAACCCATCAATTTAGCAAACTTTATGTACTATTTAACTTTGTTCTAATCAACTTTTTTCTGTTGCAAACATAATGTAGTAAATGATCTATTCATCAATCTGGTTGCAGTGAATTTATCACAATAGAGAAAGCGAAAGCATTATTTATTGAGCCATTCTCAGTGCAATGCAAATATTTTTCCAGAAATTTCTAGCCAAAACTTTATCCAAATAACGAAAATTGTTTTGGATTGTAGTTTTTTTCTAATTTTTCAACTTTCCTTTTAACGCATTTGTTCATCTTGTCTAGTTTGAATGATTTTAATATCCTGAAATGCAATTAGCACAGAAAGCTCGTCTTTTTTATCGGCACAGAAAACTTTTGTTTTTATTTTTAATTGCATGAAATAAGGGCAGGTTTTAGGTGGTTTGTAAGTGGTTTGTAACTGGTTTATAATCGGTTTGTAAGCGGTTTGTAATTGGTTTGTAAGTGGTTTGTGATTGGTTTGTGAGTGGTTTGTAATTGGTTTGTAGGTGGTTTGTAATTGGTTTGTTGGTGGTTTGTAATTGGTTTGTAATTGGTTTGTGAGTGGTTTGTATTGGTTTGTGAGTGGTTTGTAATTGGTTTGTTGGTGGTTTGTAATTGGTTTGTAATGGTTTGCAATTGGTTTGTAAGTGGTTTGTAACTGGTTTGTGAGTGGTTTGTAATTGTTTTGTTGGTGGTTTGTAATTGGTTTGCAGTGGTTTGTATTATTGGTTTGTTGGTGGTTTGTAAGCGGTTTGTAATTGGTTTGTGAGTGGTTTGTAATTGGTTTGTGATGGTTTATAATTGGTTGTTGTTGGTTTTGTAATTGGTTTGTAATTGGTTTGCAATTGGTTTTAATTGGTTTGTAAGTGGTTTGTAACTGGTTTGCGAGTGGTTTGTAATTGGTTTGTAAGTGGTTTGTAACTGGTTTTGAGTGGTTTGTAATTGGTTTGTAGGTGGTTTATAATTGGTTTGTAATTGGTTTGCAATTGGTTTGTAATGGTTTGCGAGTGGTTTGTAATTGGTTTGTTGGTGATTCAAGGCAGGAAGACTCAGTGTTAAGGGGAAAGTAATTAAAAATATTAAAATGAAAATAGCTAGGTAAGGCATATTCCGGTAAAAGTAATTTTATTGTTTACTATTTTTTTCTTTGTATTTTCAAGCATAAACAATTTCAATTCAAAACATTAGTGAATGATTCCAGCTAGTATTAAACTTGTTTGGCATTTATGGTTGGATACTTATAATTGTGGCATATTTGGCGTCTTATTAGCGCTACCATTTTCAGCTTGTGTTTGTGTTAAGGTTTCAAATTTAATTGGTTACTGATTTCTTACAATTAAAAAATTTTTTCGATGATTTTTAAAGAAAATTTTAAAATAGATGAGAATAATTAAAAGTAGAAGATAAAAAGAGAGATAGCGAAAAAGAAAAGTAACGAGATAAAAAAATAATTTTTGAAAAACGTAGAATTTTGATCGAATTTTTCTTACTATCATTTTATCATTTATGAATTTTTATACATGTGATTAACATAATAAGTAGTATTTTCAATGATAACTAAAGCAAGAACATGTTTATTGTTGCTTTGTTAATGGTTTATCATCAAGCAAGTATTTTGCAAGGACATATTAAAGCTTCTAAAATAATAAGATTCCCCGGTCTCGGTCTTTACCTCTCTTCTGAAATTTAAAAGAATGTACTAAAAGGATATGTTTGAATTGATAATCAAATTCAGTATTTAGTAATGCGAAATGTTGTATTACTTCATCCCACCTTAACATGAGTTTGTTGTAATCCATTTTAGTGCACTATTTATTGAACCTGATTAATTAGACTATAATACTAATAATTCGAAAATGAATTCAATATTCAGTAATGCAAATTATCAAAAATAATCATATAACTTACTTAGTTTGATTACTGTTTTTGAAGTGATAGCAGCGGAAGGTGAGCTTTAGAATCTCTTAATGAAGCTGCAAATATGATTGCTGAATCACCATGTTAAAACTGTTAAAACATCATTTTACAAACTTTTGAATTCATCGTTTGAATTAATCAATAGCAATAGATATCTTTCATTCGATAGTAACTTGTATTTTTATTTTGAACCTTAAAGTGCGGCGTGTTCATCCTAAACTAAGTATATTAATAGGAGGTAGTTACTAAGTTGCTTATTATTATTAATTTTAATTAATGCTAGCTCAGTTTACACTTAGGCGGAATAAATTTTGAGTGAACGAATATTTTAATAGTATGAAAATGCATTTCATTTCAGTCAGACTTGTTTACATTCATATAAAAGTAAGAACTATTTCGAAATAAACAAAGACAAAATGTCATTTGTTGTGATGATAAAAGATATTTCTGTTTATACTTCTTTCATACAAACTGGATAACTCGTAATCAAATCAGATAGTAAATGTTTACAACTTTTCGAAAAGGAACAAATCAACATGGTTGCTTGTTATACAAATTGTTTTGAATAATCATTTTGCAAGGTTATTTTGCCTTTGTTAAAAACAAAAACATTTCAGTTTGTGTTAAAGATTTAGAAGAAAAAAAAAGAAAAATTATTGCTTCAATAAATTTAATGATAATTTTTTAAAAATGCTAGAATAAATCAGTGTCAAATTGAAACATATTTAAACCTTGAATTTTCAACTTATTATAATATCATTGAACTTTTGCAACTTCATTAATCTGCAAAAAAAAAAAAAAAACAGCTTTCAATTTATGCATCCATTGCAAAAAAAAAAAAACAAATTTCTTTATGTACATCATCGTATTATCAGGACACTAAAAAAAATTCCCTCAATACCATTCCAATAAATTTTGAATAATTAAAGATTAGCTTTTCTAACTAATCTTTTTCGGTGTGCAAAAATTATATTTTGTCAAAATTCCATTCCTTCCTTTCTTGTGTTATCAATCAATTTTGTAACTGATAAACTCACAAATACACATGTGATAAGTACAGGACGTCATTATAAAACATCAATCCTGATATTATCAATTTATTATTTGTCAGATATGCGTTTTACTATCTCAAATTCATACTGATAAATTGATAACTGATGAATTGATAATTTACGATGAAAGCTAACTTATTTATTTTTCTTCTTAACAATAAAACAGTGAAAATATCTAATAAAATGCTATCAGTTGTAAACTCTGTAATTTCAACGTACTTTTTGACATACTTTGCTCCATCTTTCTTCTTCCACTCTCGAAAAGTAATACGGAATCACTGTCAAATAAATTAAAAGTTCGACAGGTAGAGAAGAGGAATCTCTTTAGCAGTCCACGTGTTCATAAGATTTCAAATTGTAGGATTTATGTGCTAGTTTCAAATAAATGAGATGATTATTTGATAGTTCAAACACTTTCAAACTTTAAAATTAACTAATAAAATTTATGAAAAGGAAAAATATGTAAGAAAATATAACAATTCCAATAAAAAAAATTAATAAGGAAATTATAATTTTTATAACTTTCATATAATAAAGAGAAAAGTGTGAAAGAAAGAAAATTATCAAAGAAAAAGTAATAAAATTGATGAAAAATGAAAAACAAAGAAGCAATTATTAAGCAAATTGTTGAAATATTAAATACTAATAAAATGAAAAGTGGAAAGAACGAATTATTTGAGTGAGCGCCGCACATCGTCGATTATTACTTTCATTTATAATTTAAGAATTACAAATTGGTACTAAAAAAATTAGAACAGATTAATTAAGATGACAAAATGGCAGCTGTGCCATTTTTAACGCAAAATAGCTATGAAATGTCCGAAGGTTATTTTTTAGTAAATTGTCTGAAGTCCATATGTTTCATCTTTGTTCGCTTTCTTGTTTCCATTCTAAATTATTTCACATTTTCTTTTTCCTTCTTTTCTCTTTCTTTCTTAACAAATGCAAATAGCATTAGAAAGAAATGAAAATTAGCAAAGCGACGTTTAACTTTTCATTTTCCTTTGTCAAATTTAATTTTACAAATTCAAATTTCTCCAATATGCTCCACCCTAAATGATTACAATGCTATTTGCAACGGATAAATAACTGACTACACAGATGTTAGTAATACTTTTGTTACAGCTATTAATATTTTGTTTAATCCTCGTATCATTTCACTTCCAAGCATTTTCCTGATTACTGCTTCCCGATAACCGGATGACATTCTCGATCCGTCATCTTTTCTCGAATTCTTCAAATATTTATCCGTTCAGCATTTCATATTTACCACCGTCCATTTTATATCCGTACTCTTTTTTTGAAATTATTGAAAATTTCAACGAAACAACTATTTGCTCCTATGTCACATTTGTCCGGTAGTGTCGTTGTTTCAGTCATTTTCGACACATATAAATCGAAATTAATGAAATTAAAAAATTCTTTCGATACTTTCAACAAATTAAAAGTAATTGTTCCATTTTTAAGCATTGGTATCAATGACGACGATAAATGTTGAAATTTCGGACAATTTAAAAAGGATTGACCAATGGGATTGGCCACTCAATAAGAATGACGGCAAAGTAAAAGTCGTTAACACAGCTGAAAAATTTGAAGTCGTTCTCGAAGCCGTGTATTTTCAACCGAAGGATATCGAAGTATGTCGTCGTTCATTTGCACTTTTCATCATTGCCCAAAATTTGTTACATTTGAAAGATCAAATAATTTTATAAAATAATTTAAATCAATTTAAGGAAAAAAAAAAACTCCAACTATTGCTGAAAATAACCAATCATTCTGTGTTTAGGTTAAAGTAATCGGTGATCAATTAGTTGTCCGTGCTTCAGAGAACCAAAAGAAGGAGAAATCGGTGAAATTAGACGAGAAATTAGTCGAAGCTACAATCTGCCCTCAGACATAGAAATTCAAACATTAAAATCGAGACTTACAACCAAAGGTCATCTTGTTATTACAGCCGATAAGAAAAAATAAAGATTCCACTCGATCTTAACATTTGCATATTTTCTAGACAGCAACTTAATTTGTCTTAATTGAAAGAGTTAAAATAATACTATTTAAATTGAATTTGTCAAGTATGTAAATGTCATTGTAACCTATCACAGATTAAGTAACTGAGGAAAGTAATATGTGACAAACAAATGTCTGTCACATTAATTGTTACAGTTGTCACCTCAACTGATGATAACTGATGTATAGTAGCGAAATTCTGATATGTAATAGATACAGAAAAGTTTCTTGTTAAATGTCACTCATTTCTAATTTATCTACAAACTTTCTTCTTCCTTTATGTCTTTCATACTTTCATATGCAAATATCTTTCAAATAAAACAGTCAAAACAGTAATTAGTATTTGCAATCATATGGAAAAACCTATGAATTCAAGCACAAAGTTTGTCAATTTTGATTAAAAAGTTAGAAAATTAGACGCAAAGTTTAATTGTTCACGTTGAAATGAATTTTCAAAGAAATAAGCGAAAGGCAGCAATCGATACACAATGAAGTAATTAGTGATAAATAATTCAATAGTTTTCAGTGCTATAATTTTAAAAGATGCCAAATTTTTATTAAAATCACAGAATAACCTTGAGGAGTAGTAAAAATTAATTAAGTAGCATTAATTAGTGAAATGTAAGTGAAGAAAGGATGGAGATCCAGTAGAGAAAAGACAAAATACAAATAGATAAATTGAATGCATAAATTAAATAAATAAAACAAATACAAGGAAGAAAAGAGAATTCTTCCTTTATAAAAAAAACTTTTATAAACAAAAATAATGAAAAAGTAAACACCTGATAAATCTTAATAAGTGATAATTAGTTAGGCATGATTAGTGATAATAATAATAATAATCTAGTAAAATCACAAGTCAGTAACCAAACAAACAAAAGAAAACAGTAATACAGCAAAGAAAGACAAATATGAATGATATTTAGTAAGTCAGTTAGTTAGTTTAACAAGGATTAAAGATCAGTTATAAATAAGTGAAATAATGATTGATCAAAACGAATTGATCTGTTCGTTCCTTTTTGCGCCATTTTGCTCGCCTATGTAATAGCTGTCTTCTTGATTGCATTCCTGATCCGGGGCGACAAAATTTTCCTGAATGTAATGTCGTACAAACAGTAAAACATTATATTATACAAAGCGTAACACAGTGAATTACAACATTTTCTCACGTTAATGACTTAAACTTGCAATCTACGTGAAAACTCCGTCAAAAAAAAGAATAAAAGAAATCAAATAATACACTGATAATGTATCATTTCCTCCTAAGTACTTCGAATTTCATAAGAAGTTTCATTAAGTCATAGTTGAAAGATCAAAAAGATGACTACCTGTGTTTCGTATAAAATTGCCATGATTTCTTCGCGCGGAATAACAGAGCTATCCTGAGCATTCTGACAAAGCAGTTTAATTTTCGCACCTTGTCGTGATAAAAATGTCTTTGATTACGAAGTATTCTTACATTCTCCTTTAATTCCTGAATCTGAAAAGATCTGCCATAAAGACAACTAAAACTTTAGCCAAATTAGGAACGTTTACAAATAAATTATGCACGAAGAAGAAAGTGATTATCGCCTCACATCGGAGATCTGTTTTAGCACAAGTAAATATAACACTAAATATAGGTCACGTTTAATTTATAGTTACGCTCTTTTCTGAATCATCAATTGAAAAATCGGCAGAACTTACCATCAGTTCATATTCACGCTGCAGAGTGATGGTATTTGGAATTTCAGTTGCAATGTTTCGACCAGAACTACATGGCTCTCCTGAAAATTATCAATGAATTTAAAAAAACTAAGAAATATATAAAACTCTACATCATAGCACAAGAAAAGTTAATATTACTAAATTTAAAATGTAATAAATTAAAATTTACTTCTCGTTGATGTGCAAAAGAATTATTTCTGGCAATCTTATGAGCTTTTGATGGAACTGGTCGGGATGATGCTGTCCAACTTGCCGGAAGTGGCTAAAAACATTAAAAATTCATAAATCTAAGAATAGCAACAAACACGTATAGAAACAATCATAATAACACTGCCAGTTCTGGTAAACTAATGAGAAAATCAGATAACAAACTTCGTTATTTCTAGCTCGCAATGCGTCATACTGACGACCGTCATAATTCGCATCAAAAATTTCTTGAACCATTGCAAAAATTCGAAATTGTTGGAATTTACATCGCAGCAAACGTTCCACTGGTACTCCCTGAAGTCATTTTTGATATCTGAATATGTAAAAATGAACTGAAAATTTAGCAGATTAAACATAATGTCATGGCTTCTTCTTAATTAAATATTACTACAAAGATAAAAAAAAATTTGATAATTAAATAAATTATATTATAAAAATAGAAAAAAAAAGTTGAAACATAAAGAATGATCAAAAATAAATGACATAACAAATGAATTAAGGGAATGCCTCATCGTTTCATTCAAACCTCCCAATATCAAAAAAAAAAAACATGATTATGACTTTTTGCCCATATTGCATTTAGGATCAAGATTTAGAAACCTTTTTCAATACAGCTTATCGATCATTCAAGAAATGACGTGAGATACTGATGGTAAATCAATCCTTCTATTTTTGTTTCATCATCTTTATTATTCATTTCCTTCTACCATTTTTCTATATGAGAAATATTACAATAAAAACTACAGCCTAGTTTCTCTGAAGTTCGTCCAACCGTTCAACCATTAGTAGCAAAAACAATAAACATAGAGAAAAAAAAATTAATGAAATATTAAATCAACTGGAAACCATCCATAAATAATACACTAGTATTATTTGTGAAAAAAAAAAAAAGAAAGAACGAAAACATGATATTAAATTTATATTTACCTTTTTAACTCCTAATTCCTTCCAAACTGTTTGCAGCATACGCCAATTATTGATCCAATCAACTTCATTTCGCGAATTCCACTTCACTTTTTCAAAGAGATTTTCCCTGGGAAAAGCAATTCTGTTAGCTGACAATAAGCAGCACCCGAAGAAACTCCTCAATGCGTGTGAAATTAGCCTATAAAGAAAGTAAGAAATTGTGAACATGGAACCATATAAACAAAAAAAAAAATGAAATTCTATAAATACATCTATCAAAATATTCTTTATCAAAAAATATTTCCGGATAGTTCATCTCCTAATAGCTATAACATTTCATGCCGAAGACTGCCGAACAAAAGTTACAATTTTCTTAATTAATTCGATTGCTGCAATTTGTTGAGCATTTAGCATATAAATCATTTAATCTAATAAAAATCAATAAATTTTCATCTCCGTTTAAATCAAAAAAATTTTCGGCAAATATTTTCATTACCCGTAAAAAATTGACAAACGCTAAAAGCTCATTTCTTGAACATTGTTCGAGTGTTGCTGATGTTGCATTTACACATTTACAATTGCAATGATCAAATTGCTAAAATTGCATCAAAAATAATTAATGACAAAATAAAATAAATAGTATAACTTGAAAAATTTTTTCAATTTTAAGATTAAATAAAATTAAGCAAAATGAAATTCTGACGAAAAGAATGATACTTGATGCATAGAAAGCTTAACATTAAACCATTAATTATCAGATTTAATTTCTCAAAATTAAATATAAAACAAAGATTAAACTCATTTAAAAATTTTCATTATCAAATTCAAAACTTAAACTTATACCCACCGCTAATTCTACCCGAAATAAATCGAACAATGACAAAAGCAACGAATAAATACAAACATATGAATCAATTGCATTAATAAATTAAACGGATCAATTCACGGCCGAATTATCGGTCGTACACTTTCATAGCGCTACCCGCAACATTTTCAATTTTTCTCTCTCTCTCCCTTTCCTTCTCTCTCTCTCTCTCTCTCTCCCTTCTTGATTTCAAATTAATTTTCATATGCTAATTTTGTAACATTTCCTTCTATGCCATTTTATAATTATATTTTTTAAAAAAATGATATATTATCGATGTATCATTTGATTCCTTTTTTTTGACGGAGTTTTCACGTAGATTGCAAGTTTAAGTCATTAACGTAAGAAAAATGTTGTAATTCACTGTGTTACGCTTTGTATAATATAATGTTTTACTGTTTGTACATTACATTCAGGAAAATTTTGTCGCCCCGGATCAGGAATGCAATCAAGAAGACAGCTACATAGGCGAGCAAAATGGTGCAAAAAGGAACGAACAGATCAATTCGTTTTGATCAATCATTATTTCACTTATTTATAACTGATCTTTAATCCTTGTTAAACTAACTAACTGACTTACTAAATATCATTCATATTTGTCTTTCTTTGCTGTATTACTGCTTTCGTTTGTTTGGTTACTGACTTGTGATTTCTACTAGGATTATTATTATTATTATTATCACTAATTATGCCTAACTAATTATCACTTATTAAGATTTATCAGGTGTTTACTTATTCATTACTTTTGTTTATAAAAGTTTATAAAGGAAGAATTCTCTTTTCTTCCTTGTATTTGTTTTATTTATTTAATTTATGCATTCAATTTATCTATTTGTATTTTGTCTTTTCTCTACTGGATCTCCATCCTTTCTTCACTTACATTTCACTAATTAATGCTACTTAATTAATTTGTTTACTCCTCAATAAAAATTTAATTTTTTAAAATTATATAGCACTGAAAACTATTGAATTATTTATCATTATTACTTCATTATGTATCGATTGCTTTGCTCCGCATATTTCTTTGAAAATATTTCAGCGTGAACTTTGCGTCTAATTTTCTAACTTTTTTATCAAAATTGACAAACTTTGTGCTTGATTCATAGATTTTCCATATGATTGCAAATACTAATTACTGTTTTGACTGTTTTATTTGAAAGATATTTGCATAAAAGTATGAAAGACATAAAGGAAGAAGAAAGTTTGTAGATAAATTAGAAATGAGTGACATTTAACAAGAAACTTTTCTGTGTATCTATTACATATCAGAATTTCGCTACTATATACACCAGTTATCATCAGTTGAGATGACAACTGTAACAATTAATGTGACAGACATTTGTGTGTCACATATTTTCCTCAGTTACTTAATGTGATAGGTTACAATGACATTTCTTACATATACTTGACAAATTCAATTTAAATATTATTATTTTAACTCTTTCAACTATGACAAATCAAGTTGCTGTGAAAATATGCAAATGTTAAGATCAATGGAATCTTTATTTTTCTCTATCGGCTGTAATAACAAGATGACCTTTGGTTTAAGTCTCGATTTTAATGTTTGAATTTCTATGTCTGAGGGCAGATTGTAGCTAGACTAATTTCTCGTCTAATTTCACCGATTTCTCTTCTTTTGGTTCTCTGAAGCATCGGACAACTAATTGATCACCGATTACTTTAACCTAAACACAGAATGATTGGTTATTTTCAGCAATAGTTGGAGTTTTTTTGAGTGGAATTCCTTAAATTGATTTAAATTATTTTTATAAATTATTTGATCTTTCAAATGTAACAAATTTTGGGCAATGATGAAAAGTGCAAATGAACGACGACATACTTCGATATCCTTCGGTTGAAAATACACGGCTGAGAACGACTTCAAATTTTTCAGCTGTGTTAATGACTTTTACTTTGCCGTCATTCTTATTGAGTGGCCAATCCCATTGGTCAATCCTTTTAAATTATCCGAAATTTCAACATTTATCGTCGTCATTGATACCAATGCTTAAAAATGGAACAATTACTTTTAATTTGTTGAAAGTATCGAAAGAATTTTTGATTTCATTAATTTCGATTTATATGCGTCGAAAATGACTGAAACAACGACACTACCGGACAAATGTGACATGGGGGCAAATAGTTGTTTCGTTGAATTTTCAATAATTTCAAAAAAAGAGTACGGATATTAAATGGACGGTGGTAAATATGAAATGCTGAACGGATAAATGTTTGAAAAATTCGAGAAAAGATGACGGATTCGAGAATGTCATCGGTTATCGGAAAGTATCAGGAAAAGTTGCTGGAAGTGAAATGATACGAGATTAACAAAATATTAATAGCTGTAACAAAAGTATTACTAACATCTGTGTAGTCAGTTATTTATCCGTTGCAAATAGCATTGTAATCATTTAGGGTGGAGCATATTGGAAAATTTGAATTTGTAAAATTAAATTTGACAAAGGAAAATGAAAAGTTAAACGTCGCTTTGCTAATTTTCATTTCTTTCTAATGCTATTTGCATTTGTTAAGAGAAGAAGAGGAAAAAAGAAGTAATGTGAATAATTTAGAATGGAAACAAGAAAGCGAACAAAGATGAAACATATGGACTTCAGACAATTTACTAAAAATAACCTTCGGACATTTCATAGCTATTTTTTCAGTTAAAATGGCACAGCTGCCATTTTGTCATCTTAATTAATTTGTTAATTCTTTAATTAATTTGTAATTCTTAAATTATAAATGAAAGTAATAATCGACGATGTGCGGCGAGAAATAATTCGTTCTTTCCACTTTTCATTTTAATTTAGTATTTCAATAAGGCAAAAATATCATTTACAATTGCTTAATAATTGCTTCTTTGTTTTCATTTTCATCAATTTTTTTTTTTTTCTTTGATAATTTTCTTTTCTTTACACTTTTCTCTTTATTATATGAAGTTATAAAAATTATAATTTCCTTATTAATTTTTTTTATTAGTTGTTATATTTTCTTACATATTTTCCTTTTCATAAATTTTATTAGTTAATTTTAAAGTTTGAAAGTGTTTGAACTATCAAATAATCATCTCATTTTTATTTGAAACTAGCACATAAATCCTTACAATTTGAAATCTTATGAACACGTGGACTGCTAAAGAGATCCTCTTCTCTACTGTCGAACTTTAATCTTTTTTGACAATAATTCCGTATTACTTTTCGAGAATGGAAGAAGAAGAATGAAGAATGGAGCAAAAGTGTATTTCGTATTTAACAATCAAAAAAAAAAATTGAAAATATTTAAAATGAAATTACAGTATTCTTTTTTCCTTAAATTAAATGTAAAATATGAAAGTTAGATGGGTAAATTTTAAATGATTATTTGGTGGAAGTAAAAATATTGATTTTAAATTATAAATAAATCCAAATTGAAATTAGGTGATTGTATCATTAATACACTAAACAACAATGCATATTTCATTCTTTGTTTGTTGCTCTTATTGGCTTATTAATCTTATACAATTTAAAAATGCAATTAAGTATGTTTGTATCATGTGAATATTTAACAATCATTTTTAATTCTTATTTTTTTTCAATTCTATTTGATTATTAAATGCAAAATATTATTTTATGTTTTCATTATTTATTGTGGAATATTTAACAATCATTTTTAATTCTTATTTTTCAATTCCTATTTGATTATTAAATAGAAAATATTATTTTCATGTTTTCATTATTTACTATCAATATTATATTTTAATATCATAAAATAGATTTCATTGAAATAAATTTCATTTATTTACTAATAGTTTTAAATTTTTAAGTTGACTATTTTGAGATGAAACAGAAACAAATCAAATTTCTTCGATTATATTTCTCTCATTTAAAAAAAACAAATGAAAATGGAAAAAAAAATTATTCTTAACGAAAAATTAAAAAAAGTGCAATCATTTAAAATTTACCCATTTAACTTTCATATTTTAAATTTAATTTAAGATAAAAAAAAGAAGAGAAACATAATTTCATTTATTAATTTAAATATTTTCAATTCTTATTTGATTATTAAATATGAAATATTATTTTCATTATTTACTATTATCAATTATAATATCATCATTTTTCTTTTCATTATTTCATATTGAGTTGATTGACAACAATGAATATTAATATTGAATAAAATTTTAAAAATTTGATAATCAAATTTTTATTAAAAGCAA